GTCGATTCTATAGAAACTTTACGAAAGGCGTAAACTAAACTGTGGTCGCTGATGCCTATATGTGAGACCCCTGAACAGACGACCCTATCTGGAGTATTTGTAAAAATTAGATCAATTAGAGTAGATGATTTGTCGGTAATTCTAGTATATTCGGTTATTAACTGATCAAGGCCGTAAACTTCAGCAATATTAGATAAGATATTTGTACTGTTGTCAAACTTAGGCGCGGCCATATTACAATTCAGATCTCCTAAGACGTAATATTCGATATTTTCAGAGTCTAGTTTTCCAATAAGTTCTTCAAATGGTTTAAAAAGATCAATAGAAGAATCAGGGGGTCTATACCAGGTCATAACGGCAAAAGGCCTTGATCTGGGTTTCTTGATTTCGACAGTCAGACTTCAGACTCCTGCTTTCCTTTCACGAAGGCAAGAAAGATGTCAGCTAGATTTCCGTCCCTTCTTAACTGTTTTATTTTTCTTGCGAGGCCTCTTCGAGTCTTCTTGTTTTCTCTCTTCTGGGCCGCTCTCCGTGTCATAACTTTCTTGTTCGGAGTCAGTTTCTCTATTATTTCAAAATCTACTGTGTCTTCTTCATCAGAAAATTCAGAAGTAGAGATTGTGTACGGACTTGAACTACTTTGACATTTTGCCGCCATTTTGTCAAAACCCTCATCCCAGAGCCCGCCACGGTCAGCTACAGCATGCGCAGTCAGGCACAGTAGAGTCAAAACGCTTAAACATATACATTTTCGTAATTTATGAATTGAGTTCGGCACGGCAACCGAAACCGAGCCGTGTCACTGCCGTGTAGCACGGCAGGCCCTGTCGAGTTTAATTGCCATGTCGACCTAAATTCAATTTGCTGAACTGAATGATTTCAAACGTCGCGCCACCGTAGGCTCAATTTCCGCCGTCTCCCGGGTCCGGTTTTTGATCCTCCCGAACAGCGGCTGGTAATCGAGCCTAGCCACCTCCGTGCCAAAGTCGAATTAATTCTATCAATTGAGTTCGGCACGGCAGTAGCACAACGTGTGAAACAGGCCTATGTCATTTTATCACTTGTTGCGCCCTGTGAAGCCACTTGACATTGCCCTTATCCTATCAGTCCCTAAGGGCGTGTTTATTCATTTTTTTATTAAACTTGAACTTGAACTTGAAGCAAGGAAATATGCTCAGACAAGATTTTTTCGTTGATTTTGATTTATTAGCACGGTCGTATTAGTTATGTCATTGGCAAGCAATATTTATTGCATAATTTTGTATTGACTGCGTAACAAGCAGCGAAAAGTCAAATCAGACAGTTCTGATGCTGCATCAACCTTCCATTAGCAAATCAAGCAATAAAGTTTGGATCTTGAGAATAAATCAGATTCGAGCATTTTGGTTATTGACACCGTTTTTTTTTCAATTATACGGGGCGTTAAACTTAATTTGCTCCAACAACTTCTCACTGATACTCCTATTTCAAAATTTGGTTTAGGGTACTACTGAGAAAGGAGGAGAAGGGAAAACAGAAGGAGCTGCGATACCTGAACTGAAAATCGACCCTTCCTTACCTCCAGAAGAATTTATGGAACTCCTTGTTCAATATCTGGAAGGTTTAAATCTTGACAATGACACCTCAGCAGTTGAACACCACATGGACCTTGATCTGTGGGACTTTGCCGGGCAACATCTTTACTATACATTTTGCCCAGTTTTCTTCTCGTGGCGGGCAGTTTACTTACTGGTTTACAACCTCAGCAAAGGATTAAATGAAATTGCGATGCCATGTTTTAGACGAGGATTTTTTAACATTCCCCTTGAGAACTCAAATCGCCAAACAAATTTGGAAAATTTGTTGTCGTGGTTGGTCACCCTCAGCTCAGTTTGCTCTTCAAAGCCAGAAGCGAATGAAAGAACACCATCAGTATCAGATCTGCTCTACACTCGCCCACCAGTGTTCATAGTGGGAACACATGCGGACAGAAAACAGGATCAGGATGTGAAAGAGATGGAATTACAAATAACGAAGGAAATTTCCGAAAAAGACTACGAAAGTCACGTGATCCGCCCTTTCTTTTCAGTTGATAATACGCAAGGATCATCTGATGAGGGGGTCGCTGCACTTCAGAAAAAAATTATCGAAGTTTTGAAGAAAGAACCATATATGGGGGAGGAGATACCCCTAAGGTACACTTATTTTCAGTCCAAAGTAATACAAAGTAAACTTAATTTTCTTCCTAGTTTACACTCTTTTTTTTTTCTAAGAACCTTTTTTCATAAGAACGTTTAGCCTGAAATTTGCCAAAATATTAAGAATATGCTAAGAACATACCGGCTCAGAGAAGAACAATTTGTTTTTTACTGCTTTTACTTTCCTAAATCCAGAAAATCGGAACACTTTCATAATTTCCTACATGGAATCAGAGTGCATGTAAAATTATGTTCTTTCATCACATTCTTATTGTGTATGGTCAATAACACATTTGCACTGTACTTGTTCAATCCATTAATGTGAAAAATATAATCACTGTCTTTAGAAAAGTGTCACTAGCACAATTTCCGTTATTGAAATTTAAGAAAATCTGTAACAACATTTCCAGGCTGAAACTGCCTAGAAAATAAAAACGGTCCAAACTCGAAAAATGGACGTTCTTATTAAAAAAAAAGAGTGTATTAAAGCTAATGGTTAATTTAACTAAAAAGTAGGGTGATACAAGCGTACTGATTACAGTGTTAGAGCGGCTATTATTGGTTGGTCGTGGTTTGAAACCCCTGTTTAAAGAAACTTTCTTGCTGCTGTTGCGGCCTTCTTAAGAATGATGAACCCGCTTTTGAGCTGCCTGTGTGTGGATCATGCTTAACGTTGCCTGTTGACCCAAGGCGGACACTAAAAATATTTGTGTCCGTTTTTGTATAAACCCTTTAAAAGCTCCAAAATAACGAATCAGTAATTTCTGTGTCATTTAGAAAGTCTAAATACTTTTTTCATATAAATACGTTTCATACTTATTAGTGCAGTGGCACAATTGCTTCAACTTTGAAAGAACTGCGAAAAAAGGTTCAAATTAAATTTTGATATTTGTTTTTCAGGTGGTTCAACTTCGAGAAGGTTGTACAAGCTTTGGCTGCTGAAAATGTACATTACTTGAAACTTGATCAACTTAAAGGCATCATCCGGAAATTTTGCTTCATTGAAAATGAGGATGACGTCGTCGCTTTGTTGGATTACTATCATGACATCGGAAAGATTGTCCGGCACCACAACACAGTCGTACTTCGGGCCAAATGGCTGATTGACATCTTCAAAAAGCTTGTAACCATTTGTCCCTTTGATGATTCGGTAAGAACAAAATGTCAAGTGCATGTAATACTGTTAGGTGAACCCCCTAGCTAACCGTTTGGCCCTGTCTGATTTCATGTGACTACAGAGTTATGGTCTGAGTTCAGGTACAGGGAAGGATTAGGGCTGAGATGGCTTTAGCTGCCCCTCTCACACCCTAACATATTTACAAGAAATAACCTTTTTTTAATTTTGGCAAAGGTAGGATTGAGATTCGAAATTAAATCGATTCTTGACCTGCACACACATTTCAAGCTAACTGAGCTTTCAATACACCCACTTTTCATCTTGCCACCTTATAGTAGAAAAGAAACTTTTTACCAAAGGAGAAAAGAATAAACTCCTTATAACGTATTCCTCAAGGGGAGACATTGTAAGAAACGAAATCAGCTCTACAGCAAACAAAACGATACAAAACAATATTGCCTTTTGACACGCAGTACAGTCCATCTATGCTCAACCCCCATCAAGCTGTTATGAAAAACTAGTTCGCTCAAAAAATCCTCAAGAAATCTCCTCTAATATCCTAGGGAAGAACGGATTGTTAAAAGACATTCTTGTTAAAGCAAAACTAAAAAGCAGTGGTCTCGACTGTTGTGCTGGCACCAGAGGCATCGCTGCCCTCCCTCTTTCAACAAACTTCTTAAAACTTTTCTTCCAGTGTATATTAGAATAGTAATTCTTTCTTGTAGAGTAAAGTCCTTTTTTGGGGGTCTGAGATGGTTTATCGGGCAAAGTATTCTTTTGACGAAGAACCACAAAAATAGATAAGGATGCTTCGTGGAGTTTTTAATAGGTGTGAAATGTAGTAGCCTATCTAAAACCAAACAGTGAATGAACAACCCGTGGAAGCCACGCTTTAAGTTGTAGTTCCTAGGGCACTGAGAAAATTTTCTCCCTTCACACGAACAATCAATGAATGGAACTCCCTTCCCGTGGATATTGTAAATACCACCTCTGTAGATAGTTTTAAATCTAAGTTAATAGGTTTTAATATTCCAGTGTATTAGGTTTATTCAGTTTTCATTATCTTAGTGCATAATTTATTATGTTTCTTTTGTCATTCAGTTGGTGTGATATCTCGTGATTTTACCGACTGGTAGAATTGTAGATGTAGGTTCTTGAAGAAATTCATCAGGCTAGTGAAGTTAAACAGTCGATTTAAATGTTCTTAAAAGCCTTAAATAGGCTTCTGAAACACCTTCAGAAGCGTATTTAAGGCCTGTGACACTTTTAATGTTTTTCAAGTTTTGATAAAGATGGCTGACAGTCATCGAAACTGTCAGCATCAATAAGACGTTAAGACTGGCTATGTTTTAAGAACATTTAAATCGACTGTAGATGAAGATGTAGATACAGATCAGCCGGGTGCTGTTCGTTTTTTTAGGAACCAAGTCATTCCAAGTTGTGGAAACAAATGGAGAAAACAGGTGTCCTCGATATGGAGCTTGTTAATCACGTGTTTTGCAATGAGTTTCATCAGCACAAGGATGATATTTTGGACATGATGGAGCAGTTTGGACTGATCGTCAAGTTTACCAAATCTCCAGGAAAAGACATTTACCTTGTTCCCTGTCAACTTCGAACACCTCCTGACGCCCTGGGTAAAATTGAGCCTTTTCCTTCAGATCCTTGTACATTATACCTTCGTTTTCTCGGAAGTTTTGTTCCTTATGGTTTTTTTTCTCAGCTTGTGTCACGATGTGTCACTTGGTGCTGTCCAGCTGGATCTGAAAGACTACGAAAGTCACGTGATCCGCCCTTTCTTTTCAGTTGATAATACGCAAGGATCATCTGATGAGGGGGTCGCTGCACTTCAGAAAAAAATTATCGAAGTTTTGAAGAAAGAACCATATATGGGGGAGGAGATACCCCTAAGGTACACTTATTTTCAGTCCAAAGTAATACAAAGTAAACTTAATTTTCTTCCTAGTTTACACTCTTTTTTTTTTCTAAGAACCTTTTTTCATAAGAACGTTTAGCCTGAAATTTGCCAAAATATTAAGAATATGCTAAGAACATACCGGCTCAGAGAAGAACAATTTGTTTTTTACTGCTTTTACTTTCCTAAATCCAGAAAATCGGAACACTTTCATAATTTCCTACATGGAATCAGAGTGCATGTAAAATTATGTTCTTTCATCACATTCTTATTGTGTATGGTCAATAACACATTTGCACTGTACTTGTTCAATCCATTAATGTGAAAAATATAATCACTGTCTTTAGAAAAGTGTCACTAGCACAATTTCCGTTATTGAAATTTAAGAAAATCTGTAACAACATTTCCAGGCTGAAACTGCCTAGAAAATAAAAACGGTCCAAACTCGAAAAATGGACGTTCTTATTAAAAAAAAAGAGTGTATTAAAGCTAATGGTTAATTTAACTAAAAAGTAGGGTGATACAAGCGTACTGATTACAGTGTTAGAGCGGCTATTATTGGTTGGTCGTGGTTTGAAACCCCTGTTTAAAGAAACTTTCTTGCTGCTGTTGCGGCCTTCTTAAGAATGATGAACCCGCTTTTGAGCTGCCTGTGTGTGGATCATGCTTAACGTTGCCTGTTGACCCAAGGCGGACACTAAAAATATTTGTGTCCGTTTTTGTATAAACCCTTTAAAAGCTCCAAAATAACGAATCAGTAATTTCTGTGTCATTTAGAAAGTCTAAATACTTTTTTCATATAAATACGTTTCATACTTATTAGTGCAGTGGCACAATTGCTTCAACTTTGAAAGAACTGCGAAAAAAGGTTCAAATTAAATTTTGATATTTGTTTTTCAGGTGGTTCAACTTCGAGAAGGTTGTACAAGCTTTGGCTGCTGAAAATGTACATTACTTGAAACTTGATCAACTTAAAGGCATCATCCGGAAATTTTGCTTCATTGAAAATGAGGATGACGTCGTCGCTTTGTTGGATTACTATCATGACATCGGAAAGATTGTCCGGCACCACAACACAGTCGTACTTCGGGCCAAATGGCTGATTGACATCTTCAAAAAGCTTGTAACCATTTGTCCCTTTGATGATTCGGTAAGAACAAAATGTCAAGTGCATGTAATACTGTTAGGTGAACCCCCTAGCTAACCGTTTGGCCCTGTCTGATTTCATGTGACTACAGAGTTATGGTCTGAGTTCAGGTACAGGGAAGGATTAGGGCTGAGATGGCTTTAGCTGCCCCTCTCACACCCTAACATATTTACAAGAAATAACCTTTTTTTAATTTTGGCAAAGGTAGGATTGAGATTCGAAATTAAATCGATTCTTGACCTGCACACACATTTCAAGCTAACTGAGCTTTCAATACACCCACTTTTCATCTTGCCACCTTATAGTAGAAAAGAAACTTTTTACCAAAGGAGAAAAGAATAAACTCCTTATAACGTATTCCTCAAGGGGAGACATTGTAAGAAACGAAATCAGCTCTACAGCAAACAAAACGATACAAAACAATATTGCCTTTTGACACGCAGTACAGTCCATCTATGCTCAACCCCCATCAAGCTGTTATGAAAAACTAGTTCGCTCAAAAAATCCTCAAGAAATCTCCTCTAATATCCTAGGGAAGAACGGATTGTTAAAAGACATTCTTGTTAAAGCAAAACTAAAAAGCAGTGGTCTCGACTGTTGTGCTGGCACCAGAGGCATCGCTGCCCTCCCTCTTTCAACAAACTTCTTAAAACTTTTCTTCCAGTGTATATTAGAATAGTAATTCTTTCTTGTAGAGTAAAGTCCTTTTTTGGGGGTCTGAGATGGTTTATCGGGCAAAGTATTCTTTTGACGAAGAACCACAAAAATAGATAAGGATGCTTCGTGGAGTTTTTAATAGGTGTGAAATGTAGTAGCCTATCTAAAACCAAACAGTGAATGAACAACCCGTGGAAGCCACGCTTTAAGTTGTAGTTCCTAGGGCACTGAGAAAATTTTCTCCCTTCACACGAACAATCAATGAATGGAACTCCCTTCCCGTGGATATTGTAAATACCACCTCTGTAGATAGTTTTAAATCTAAGTTAATAGGTTTTAATATTCCAGTGTATTAGGTTTATTCAGTTTTCATTATCTTAGTGCATAATTTATTATGTTTCTTTTGTCATTCAGTTGGTGTGATATCTCGTGATTTTACCGACTGGTAGAATTGTAGATGTAGGTTCTTGAAGAAATTCATCAGGCTAGTGAAGTTAAACAGTCGATTTAAATGTTCTTAAAAGCCTTAAATAGGCTTCTGAAACACCTTCAGAAGCGTATTTAAGGCCTGTGACACTTTTAATGTTTTTCAAGTTTTGATAAAGATGGCTGACAGTCATCGAAACTGTCAGCATCAATAAGACGTTAAGACTGGCTATGTTTTAAGAACATTTAAATCGACTGTAGATGAAGATGTAGATACAGATCAGCCGGGTGCTGTTCGTTTTTTTAGGAACCAAGTCATTCCAAGTTGTGGAAACAAATGGAGAAAACAGGTGTCCTCGATATGGAGCTTGTTAATCACGTGTTTTGCAATGAGTTTCATCAGCACAAGGATGATATTTTGGACATGATGGAGCAGTTTGGACTGATCGTCAAGTTTACCAAATCTCCAGGAAAAGACATTTACCTTGTTCCCTGTCAACTTCGAACACCTCCTGACGCCCTGGGTAAAATTGAGCCTTTTCCTTCAGATCCTTGTACATTATACCTTCGTTTTCTCGGAAGTTTTGTTCCTTATGGTTTTTTTTCTCAGCTTGTGTCACGATGTGTCACTTGGTGCTGTCCAGCTGGATCTGAACTGCCTAACTTGTACGATGGAGCATCTCGATTCTTCATCGGAAAGGAACAAAATCACCAGTTGATCCTTGTATGCAAGAAACGATTTATCACGATCATTTTGAATGAAATACAGCGAGATGATTGGCCATGTGATGGTGGGGCGAAAGTGCAAGACGTGGCTATCAAAGTGCGAACATTTCTGGAACACACAATGCAAACTATGTCACACGAGCTGTCTGGGTTTAAAAACTTGGCTTATGAATTGTGTGTTGAATGTCCGTTTTGCCAGGAGAAGCAAAAAAAATGTGACTATCATGGCCAGTTTCTTTGCCCCAACGAGTACTGTATGTGCCTTCTGAAAGTTACCGCAGATGGGCCATTTAAAAACTGCACTAAGAGCTTTGTCTGTGTGAAACCGAAACTTGCTCAGCTCCAAAGATGGTTCCCTGTCAAAGGTGAGGCTGACATGATACAACAACAACATTAACAACCCTTATTTGTACTCACTTTTGTTCTACAAGAAATTAAGATAATGAAAATATTAAAAATAAATTAGAGTACTGGCTGCCTGGAATAACCATAGAGGCCAGCGGAGTCTGTCAGCCAGTTGACATCAGCATTAAATAGAAATAAATTGATAAGGAAACTGATGGCTGAGTTGCCCGTTATTAAAAAAAAAAACTTAGAACAATCGGGCCTCACTTTAGCCTGAAATTCATCCGATTGCTTCGAGTCGTTTTCTCCTCTCAACAACGTCTGAATCGACCGGCCGTTAATGCCGTCCAGTGACGTCACTCACTACCCGAAAACCGGGTAGTGATTTTGATTGGTTGATTGTCTAAACATTCGCATAATTATGTATAATCATGAAAAATTTTAGCGGGATTGTCGCTTGAGATTCAGCGGATCGCATCCCTGGCTTTCTTTCGTTTAGTTCAAACATTTCGATAAGCTTAATCTTTATCTTAAACAGCAAAATTGCCCTTGCCTTGGAAACTGAAATGATAAATTGAACTGCGAATGAAGAATCATTGCGGAGAGTCGGTAGGTTTTTCATTTAGAGCCGCTTTGTGGTTTCGGCGGCCGGTGATTTTGTTTACGCGAAGTTTTCTGAGATCAATGTTACAATTCGACCTTCTTGCTATTCTTAGCGTCAAGTGTAATGGTTCTGTTAGCTTTTCTTTCTTGTCTCCTTGTTTTTTTTGTTCTTCGTTAAGGACCAAATAGCTTCGTTTCAATTAAAGCAAATCATTGTGTTTCTGAACTAGGTGTTCCGTGTGTGTGTTTATTTCATTGCGTGATTAAGACCGACTAACCGAGTTTGATTCTAGAATTTAGTACAACCGGTTCAGAGTTGTACTGCTGCAGTTGATAGTTTGAACGTTAAACATGAATTACGATCGAAAAAAATAAAGCAATTCTGTATCATGCAGACATTTCCAAACGATATTTCTCGGTTTGGCACGTGAAAATCGTGTTTTACTTTTTGCATGAATTAAAACAAAGGTCAAGGTGTAGTGACGGCATTAACGGCCGGTCGATTCAGACGTTACTGAGGGAGTAATAACGACTCCAAGTAATCGGATGAAATTCAGGCTAACCTCACTTGAGAGAAACCTTTTCTTTACGTGCAGTTTTGTTGCAGCTGGTAACTTACTCAATTCTTGCCTTTTTATAAGGCGGTTCAGCTATAACACGCACGAAATTGTAGGCCTTGTTTCAGTGTAACGGTGGACAAATGGTGAGCACTATGTATTGAACAGTCCAACTAAATTTTACAAGGTAAATGTTTTCCAGTGAAGGCCGGCATCCTCTATCTTAGTCCTTTGTTCTGCTAGCCTTTTCATTCCTTACATATGTTAAAAGGTCGGCCAGTTTAAGCTGAGGTGACGACGTACTATGTTATTTATTTGAAGTGAGACCGTAAAGTGAGTGAGGTATGGGCCGATTAGAAAATGGTGAAAACAAGGTATAAAAGTAAACATAACATATTTGAGGACTGATATGTTCTGCTTGGATGTACTGCTGATCATTTTCATAGTGAAATACTAAATGTTAATTAGGGAGAACACTTCAAGTTTAAGGCTTCTCATAGATATTATTATAGGTTCTCTTTGATTTAGTTTTATGTTTTACAACTGTTTTGTTTTTCTCTTCTTGTTGCAGCGGATGAGGCCAGGTTTACGGAGGTAATGAAACATTTTGTTTATCAAATTAACTTTTCTTTGTATCTTAATAATTACACTTTTGATTAACTGATTTTTGATTGTCAAAATTTGGGGTGCTAATTATCTCAAGAAATTTCCTGTAGTATTCTTTCATGAGGAAGGCGGTGAAAACGAACGTTTTACAATAACTGAATCACTTCTCGCGCGCTCATTGGCTAATTTTCATCGTCAATGAGAGAACAGACACATAAAATTTTAATTTATGCAAGACGCGGTCATTTGCCGAACGAATGCCAAACTTCTATGTTTTTCTTTAGTTTAGTTTCGAAAAAGATTCACTTTCTGTCTGCTTAGGAAAATAGCCAGATAACCCTGATGCAAGACTTGAATCCCGTTTGAATTCTCTACAAAAAGCTCAAGCAGAGGAAACTGAACAAAAACGCGTAGTTTCCAAAAGCGAAGACGAATTGATGGAACTTGTATTGCTTCAAAACTGCGAAGGATTCAGATAAGCTTTTAACATTCATACTTAGTTTTAAAGGTGAAAATAGAAAGAAAACAATTCTGAAAGTCTAGGTTATTCAAAATAAAGACATTGATTACAGTGGTTTTCTTTTGACAAGTACCGAGTGTTTTTCAGATTCCTTTTAACGAAAGGAAAACAAACGTTTTGTACAAAACTTTGTGAAACTTTGTAAGCTTCTGGTAAGTTGAATTGAAGACTACATGCGTATAAAACCCATTTTTTGGTTTGAATGAACGCAGTTCATATAGCTGAATGGTGTTCAGGACGAAAAATAAGACTTGAACTGAAGTAAACAACAGTAAGACGATATCTGTTCGTACTGTTCGGTCAGCAACTTTTCAAAACTGCTTGGCTAGTCGCTTCACAGACAGCTCCATCGTACATCGCTTCGCTTTGCTCGATTATTTTAACGGCTCCAAAATCTTTTCTTGGGATAATTTCTAACCTTGGGCTAGTTTATGACTTTATAACACCCTAAAATGGCTTTCATTATTCGAGACAATAAATATCGCTGACTTCATTCTTGTTCTGAATAGAAGTTTGGAAAACAATTTATTCCTAATTTATGCGGGGCAGTGGCCTGACTCAACCTGTCAAATTTTAGCCAATGAAACTCCCGTTGTTTGTCTTCGGTAGCCAATCACCAACCGAGAAAAGTTATTGACAATAACATTACGCTTGTTTAAAAAAGTCATAAATTTTCTTGCCTTTTTTTCATTTTTAAAGGCAAATTTGACTTTTCCGAGCTTTTGTTATTGTAAAAAACAAATTTACGCCAGTTTTTTATATGTCTGCCCTAGCTCTTATTGATGATGAAATGAGGGCACAGCATTGTCAAAGTTGTTGTGAATCCACGAGCGGTACTTTGACAATGTTGTGACGTCATTTTATCATCAATAAGAGGACAGACATAAAAAACTGGCGTTAATTTGTTAATTCGAAAGATGAGCGGTTAGCGCCTTAGCTCTTGAAAATTCTAAATAGCGTTATTGTCTTCGTTAGTATCGTCAGTATCGTTATCGTTAGTATACCTTTTTCATGTTTCCTGTAAAAGCAACTTAGCTACATAGCGCTTGTTGCGACTATGACGTAAACTTTGAGCGACCGTTACGAAAATTCAAATGGCTGCATATTTTTTAGTCTCTGACAAGTTAGTAATAGAGCTAAGTTAAATTCAAAGTTAAGTTTAAAATAAGCTAACTGAACAAATGTTACTCGACTGAAGTTCGTGAAATTTGAAGAACAAGCCCACTAATTTGATGGGTTGAGAGATAATAAAGTGCAGATTTTTTACTCTCTGGTAAACGCCTGCAAAATCTAAAGTGGTAGTTAAGCTTAAAAAAAGTTGTTCTTGGATTTCAAGATGGTTTGTTGTCATTCGCAGGTTATTCAACGAGGTAATGTCACTTCGCTTGACAGTAGCTTGCTGATTTCGTGCAGCAGTGCTAAAAATTCTTGTCTGCTTTGGTTGCCTAAGATTTTTTTTTGGCGCAAACATCCGTCCGTCCGTTCTTCGGCATATTCGTTTGCGGTCCTTTGCAGTCCTTTGTTGTTAATGTGTTTGTACAATCCGTCAATCACCCTGAATCTAAAGTATCTTGAGAAACCTAACCATGATCTGTGACCCAAACATTATGCAGGGTTTATTCTAGAAATTAGCCAGTGAGAGTCAAATGGGCCCCCGTCTGTAATTTTAGGGGGCCCTTTTTCAAGAAAGGGGGTCCATGGGTCGGACTCGCCGAACGCTTTGCCGCCATTTTGGAACGTTCTGGGCAACTGAAAAAGTCTGGGCTCGAATTAAATCAGAATCCCGGATGTTTGTCTGGTGAAATAATGACTCCAACGAAGAAGAGAAAGGCAACTGAGATAGTAAGAGGCTTTTAAAGGTCAAAGTTAGTTTATAGAGAGGCCGTCAAATTAGTGTTGTTGTCAGTGATGTTTTCGAATACTTTATTTCAAAACATTTGAGGGGGGGGGGGGCATTTGACGCGACAACGTAAATTTTATGCGGCATTTTTTTCCAAATTGCGGAAATCCCGCAAAGCCGCGCTCTAAAATAAACCCTTATTATGGGCGGACACTCCGAATTGATTGGCTCCTGTGTTTAGTAATTGGATTCCCTATTCTCTCCTTAGGATTTGTCATCACCTAGCACAGCAAGGTCCTCTTCCAGCAACAAGTTAAGAGTAACTCTGTTAAGCAGTGAATGGAAGTCAACAAAAGGAGGCTTGTCAACAATTAACAGAGTGCTGGCCATTCAATTAGCAAAACATCCCGGCGTGGAAGTCAGTGTTTACCTCCCTCAGTGTAATAAAGAAGATAAACAAGTCGCTGCAAGCCAATACAGTGTAAAACTAATTGAAGCCGAACCAATGGCAGCTTTTGACCCAGTCGATTGTTTGTCCTTCTTACCAAAAGACCATGCTGTGGACTGTGTGATAGGACATGGGGCCGTCCTTGGTCGGCAAGTGCAGGGAATAAAACGTTATCATCCTCACTGCAAGTGGATTCAGGTCGTCCATACCGATCCAGAAGAACTTGCAATGTACAAAGCATATGAGAAACGCATTTCCAAAGGTGAGACAAAGCACGAAAAGGAGGTTGAACTCTGTAAATTAGCTGATAAAGTTGTAGCAGTTGGACCCAAGCTGGCTGAAGCCTTCTCAAGATATCTCCGCCCTTGTGGAAAAGATCAAGATGTTATCAAGCTTACCCCAGGCATTTTTGCTGAGTTTTCTGATGTAAAGCAAGCCCATGGCGAGTTAAGTTCATTTAGTGTTTTAGTGTTTGGACGTGGTGACAGTGAAGATTTCCAACTGAAAGGATACGACATCGCCGCTAAAGCGATTGCTGAGTTGAATGACAAGACTTACAAGCTAACATTTGTTGGAGCAACAAGAGGAGAAGAAGAGCAAGTAGCAGAAATGTTACTCCAACAAGGCATTGACCCAAGCCAACTCAAGGTACGTTCTTTTAATGAAAGCAGAGAACAACTAGCTGAATTGTTTTGTGAGGTTGATCTTGCGATAATGCCATCCCGAACTGAAGGCTTCGGGTTAGCTGCCCTTGAGGCTTTATCAGCTGGTCTACCTGTTCTTGTCAGTGAAAACTCTGGTCTTGGAAAATCTCTGAAGAAAGTTCTCTGTGGTTCAAGCTGCGTGGTAGAGTCAGAGGATCCCAGGGAGTGGGCCAATGCAATCAAAGCTGTCCGTCGCAAAGAAAGGGAGATGCGACTTAGAGAGTCTAAAATGGTACGTGCAGCTTATGCAGAAGAGTACAGCTGGAAGGAACAGTGCGATAAACTTGTACAGGAGATGAAATTTTAATATCTCGCTGGTAGGTAAATTAAATAAGTTATGGTGATACCTGTATTTTATTTATAACAGAGAGGAGAAGTCGTTACGTCACGTTGCCATGTTACCAAAATTTCTGGATCGCGACAAACCGCGGTCCTGCAAAAATGGCCGAAAAAAGAAAAAACAATTAAAGAATGTATGACTTTCCTACGCATCGTTGCACCTAGGAACAAAACGGTACCTCAAGAGGCCCTCCGATCTTCCAAGATAAGTCGGGAGGAAGAAGGAACCTTGCTCTTCAATGTTCGACAATGCAAATGGCCTTCTCTGTCAAGAAAGATTGTTCAGATCCAGAAATTTTGCTACCATGGTAACGTGACGTCACAGTTCCCCTCGTCATACAGTTTTCCAAAGAGAACGTCATATGAGTAGTCAAATACCATTCACAAATGAACAGTGGAAACAATTGGGATACTCCCAGAGACTATGGCGATATACGTTTGCATTAATTTGATTCTTTACTGAAGTAGATCAATTGATCTATTGATCTATTGACAAACAAATAAAACGATAAAACAAAATGGGAAAACTGATCAACGGGTAATGAAGCCTTAGAGTTACGTATTGCAAGGTGAGTGATTTCCTTGTAACTGGTTAAAAGATAGACTGACAGACCAAGGATTTATTGTATACTTAGCTGTAAAGTCTTCGTGTACGTGTCCTGGGGAAGGTACTCAGTTCACCAATACAGTCAACTGTCAGCTTGCGGACACCCCGATAATACGGACAGCGACTAAATCCCAGGCAAGAATAAGTTGCAGATATTTGACTGAAATATACTCCCGCTACTACAGACTCTCGCTAATGAGGACACTAACCGAGTCCGGTATCAAGAGACTGAGTTGGTAATTGGGTGTATACACCCGCTGAGTGTTTGAAACCCTGAGCCTGTTTAGGGCCAAAAATTTCTAAAATACGTACCCTGTTTAGGACAAAGGACGGAATTCACGCTGTCTTGTTTTAAAGCCCTTTATTGGCAATTGCAATTGTCTAGTTTCAAACCGAGAGGGGCTGGGTACGATTCCGTATATTATGGAATAAACAAGAAGAGACCCATATAGTAAGAGAGAGCACATTGAAATAAGCAATTGTAAGAATGTAAATGAGTATTTCATCCACTCTGTATGTGTCCGCGTCCGCTTAATAGAGGTGTTATTTACAAGAAATCTGAAGGGAAATAAATTTGGGGACATTAGCTACTCTCCGCTTCGCTAAGTACAGGGTTCAATCAACTCTCACCTTGCGGACACAACGATAATACTGACAGCAGCTGAAATACACTTCCGTTATTACGGACTCTCGCTGGACAATAACCCAAGGTCCCACAGTGTCTGCTATAAAGCAAGTTGACTGTGCATTCCTTAGTACACGTAAGATGACATAGTATGATATACGTGTACCATGTCAAATATTAAATGTGAGAGCAATTTTTATATGCACCACACATTTAGAGGCAGAAGTTATAAAGAAATATCAACAGTCGCGTCTCCGTTTTGACAGAAATATGCGCGAACGAGAATGTTGCTAAAGAAATTGGTTTGGATTGAAAAACTTGTTTAAAACATTAAAAACTTTATGTAGCTTACATGAGGCATAAGAAATCAACGGAAATGTCGATAAGCTCAAACCAACTGAAGTGGTATGATTTTATTTTATGTTATTTTTCCACAAACTTTACTTTGTACCAGATTTCAAAACATCAAGAGGAAAGACACTTGGGCGGATATACCAGGAGCAGCCTCTATGTCGTAACTGGAAAAATTGCTTTTGTGGCTTCAATAGGGTTTGGCGGAAAACAAGTCAACTACGCACGCCCTCTTTGTGAATTTACTAGCAGATGAACTGCCTGGAAGCTGGTCCACAGTCTGGGCAAATCAGTGGGTTTTGTTTTACCCACGCTCAATTTAACAATCCTCATGTGCAGAATCAGTGTAGTAAAGTCAGTGAAGACTGGTATACATTAACAGATCTTTGCGACGCTTGAGTGAATGGTTCCTCGTTGACAACGGTTAGGTTCTGACTACATAAGCCGGGCTTGCTCTTTTTTACCAAAATCAGTCGCGATACGTTAACTGAACGCGACAAAAATCAACTTAGTTTGTGATTACTTGACAATCAAGACAGTCCGGTCTGCAGGGATCCCGGTATGAAGATGGCGTAATACTGGGATAAAAGTGGCCTCGACAAAGACAGACGGTGTAGCTAAAGTGATCAGACCCTCAGATTGCAAGTTAAGATACATGACTTTAGAAAACCTTGGTTGAAAAATGGATTATCCTCAGTCATTTTGAAGTCACTGTAACTTTTAAGCAGGGTAAACTATCTAAAGGTAGAAAATATTTTTAGTTTGGGCGTTATGGGTATTGGTAGCGTCGAAGCTATTAAAATGAAGAACACTAATTTCTATGGTTTATTAAGATTATTTTAAACTACTCTCGAAGTCGAAGCTTTTTCTTGTTCAATTTCTGACGCTTTTTTTAAGGTTTCTAGTCTTTCATCTGTAAATATTATTTGTAAACAGCATTAGCTGTAAACATATTAGTTGTAAATATCACATTTATCGTTTTTGTTCTTAAGATTATTCATTACTACTCGAACTGATTTTTACATCATATCGTTGTAAACAATAGTCAGATCAGGTTGCCTTCGTTGAGTATAAGAAGGAAAATAATCCTTTATAAATTAGCTTAAAACTTGTAAATGTATTTTTTTCATACAGGTACACATTTTAACAAAAACATGCGTGCTCCTAGGTGTTAACGCGTTTATAATAAATTTGATTGATTGATTTTTTTTTAAAAATGCCTTACCGAATGCAAGCTTATAAACTGAACATTCCTTTTACTCAACCGAAATGTGAGCTGTAATTTTTCATAACCATTTTAGTTTTTTTGGCGTTAAAGCGCTGAAGTGCTATTCTCTGCTTTTTTGTAAACCTGTATTTTAGTCCGAGGAAATAATTTGGAATCCGCTAGATGAATTGTTTTTCGTTGGATGTTACCTCGGTGAACGTTGCACTACCCAGACAATCTTGTGCATTCTACCCCAGTATCTGCAAATTTATTTCTTTAAAAGTGTCTGAAGATCCATTAACACAGAAGCACAAGTGCTTAAGAAGCAAGGCGCTCCAATCAGAATCCTGCTGCCTTTCAAAGACCAGGAATCGTCTGACGCAGTACGCAGACAACTTGGAGACCAATGGAGATATCCGCCCGGGGTACACAAGACAAAAGATCAAGAAGAAATCAAATGAAAGTGAGCCAACCCTTGTAAATCAACAATGCGATGTGTATCATTGTTAGTGTTACACGTGCCACCACCTTCACCAGTGAAGGGAGCAGCACGAAATAGTCCCAAATCACATTATAACTTACCATTAGAGCGGTTTTCACTTGACTGTCGAATTGGGATTGGTTTTGGTTTTGGTTTTGGTTTTACTACGTCCTTTGGTTGGCTAGTGTATTTACTCTGGTTTTGGTTTTACGACAGTCAAGTGAAAACCGCTCTAACACATTTTTTGTCACTTTTAAGCGTTCATGACATCCTTATCTTTGGCTTTTTTGTAATGTACTGTATATGTATGTTAATTTGTATTTGTAATTTTACTCGCAATAGGCCATTTGCACGATGGTGTCATCTTACCACGACGACCAGAATCCTTTTCGTTTTTCCTTTCATATTTAAATTTGGTAATCCCGGTGAGGTTTGAGTAACAATAGGCCTAATTTGCAGAAGAAAAAGAACCCTGAAGGATTCTGGTTGTTGTAGTACAATAAGGTCTTTATGCAAATGACTTATTGAAAATGACCTCGCATGGGTCTAAATGTTGTGACTTTTTACTGTTGACTTAGTATATCCCAAAAGCCATCGTCTACTGTTTAATTTTTGATTGTTTATCACTTCTCAAGTGCGCCACTCGTACCCATGCGCTTCTTGAGATTTTCGACGGTAGTCGCGGTTGAAGGATCATCGGAAGCTTCAAAAACCGAGCTTCCCGTTTTTCGTCCTTCCCATTACCCCTTGTGCTGCGAATAGTGCAGCGCCTGGGTACGAGGCAGAGCCGTGGTTGTCTCGATGGGCTCACCCGGGCGGGGATTACCGCGGGCGCATCGAAACACCCGCTGCTGACTAAGCCTAAAATAAAAATGGACTGAAAGTTGAAAAAGTTAGCCCAACTATTTCAAGTTTTACTGCTTTGCCTGCAAAAATCAACAAAAGATTATTATGGTCAGTGCTGCCTGATCAATGAAGTGTGTTTGATATCCTCCATGACTCTACAGGAGTATTTTGTCTATAGAACAGCAGTTTGTGGTTCATATTATTTTATTGAAACATTTAAACATGTAATTATACAACATCTTAAGTAGTTTTGAGGCCAAAAAATATCAACTTTTAGTCCTAGTGAAGCCTACTCTCCTACGACCAGTGGTTTCTCCAGGCCGGACGCTACGCTAAGAAGAGAGAGAAACCACTGCGAGCAACCGTTTGCTTTTCCATCGAGCATGCGCGTCCACGTGTCGCCTAGGTCAAAACGTCAAATGACATCACTTTCTCTTGTGTTGCAGGAAACATTACGAGAATTTTAGATCCAACGACTCCACGGTAACGAGAACATCAAAACAACAATAGGTTTAACAAACAAAACAACAACTTTGCAAGTGCATCACACTTTTTTTGGCCGACTTTTTTTTTTTTTTTGCCGTTTTTGCACGACTACGTCGTGAAAATGCGTAATTTCGCTTTTTATGGAGGACGTAACCAAGCAACGACGAAATGTTACTTCTCTCTGTGAGCCTAGATATGGTCCCTAAGAATTGAACTCCGGTTTGGTTCGCCAACATGTGACAAAGTGAGTGGGTAGGAATAATCGCGATTAAGACTGAAAGAGCGCAAATTAACAGCAGGCTCGCCTTGAGGCAGCGGTTATAATCGTAAGCAAATGTGCGAGAGCCTTATCTTGTTTTTCAACACCTGCAGGTTTCACCTGTAATCGTCCATGGAGCTGGACGGCGGCTCGATCAAAGAAGCAAACGGCTGCTCGCAGTGGTTTTTCTCTCTTCGTTGCGTAGCGTCCGGCCTGGAGAAACGCGCACCACTGCTCGCACGGTAGGCGAGGCCTCAGCTAAAACTTCAAAATACTTATCAACAAAAAGGTGAAAAACAAAAATATTCGTGGCCATTCATCGAAGTTTCAGCCATGTCGTCTTCATGATCAAGTTCTGAGCGGCTGTTTCCGTCGAAATTATTTCCCTTCTTATACTGTAATATTAAAGGTAGCTTGTTCTCTAAACTGTGTACAATAGCTGCTCCGCAGACAACTCCTTTTGTTCCAGAGGAGGCTATGTACAATAATAGAATGTAAAAATCAGTTTTACATGTAAACTATCCCTGAATCCAATTTTTCACATGGCCCGTAACCATACTGCCACAAATGGCTGGCCCGTTCCCATGTAAGGTCACAGCAAAGTTCATTTTTGTTTAAGTTTTCGCTAGTTTTCAGTCTGAATTTGCTACAAGAACGGTAAGGTCTTCACTAAGTTATGGAATGTTCTCTGTCTTTTTCAAAACTGACTCGTCGCATCCGTCTTCCTTTTCTTTTTCGTTTTTTACTTCCCCTTTCTGGGCACAATTGTCCGTTTCTAACGAGGTTTGTTCGTCTTGTTTATCTTCTTTCTTCGCTTTCTTTGCTGCCTCATGTCTCCACTTTGTTCTTCTGTTTTGAAACCAAACTTTCACCTGTGTTTCGGACAAACCCAACATGGCGCCGATCTGAAGCCGCTCTCGTTTGGTGACGTACTTGGTCGCTTGGAAACGCTTTTCCAGACCCCGACGCTGCAGCTGTGTGAAGACTGGGCGACACCAAGGGCGGGTTGAAGTGCGCATGGGCGGAGAGTAAAAGGGCTGATGGGTAATGAAATTAACGCCATCATTCCACAGAAACGGGAAATCAGGAAAATGGACTTCTGGGTGTTCTGAAAATAATAGTTTTAAATAGAAATAAGAATTTTTATTACATGCAAGAATCCGAACTATCTCTCTTAAGTTGGTATATCTTTCATATAGTCATCTCCCTCACATTGCCAAGTTATCATATAAACCTTCTAGTGTAAATTTTATAAGGCAATTAACCTAATTGACATAAGAGTTTGTCAACCGCAACCAGCGAGCAAAATACATAAAGCACTCCTAATGCTTTGTTAGTTGATATCAGCTATTTCCGGCTTAGCTTAAGCCAGAGAAACTTTGCAGTATGAATGAAATCATCGCTGACCTTTGCTAATATTCTTTAGAGGAATGTTGCACATGTTATGTAGGTAATTAGCTGCAAGAATTATCAAACGGAGTCACTTAGCTTAAATTTTCTCTCAGTTGAATCATCTTGAAATCGCCGAATTTCACTTCAAGGAGAATTTTTTTAACGCTAACCGTATACAACCAGACTTCTGTTTGCACTGAGAGATTTGGACATAACCCGAACTACTCAGGGCCAAAATAAATAAATAAGCAAATATAAAACGGCTAGGCTCATTAAATCTCTCTGAAGTGGCATAAACCACCTCCAACGACGCCGCGTTTTCTTTGATTTTGTTTTTCTTTCCTGAAAAGAAAACTGTATCCTGTACAAATTTACTCGGCTTTTTCAGGGTCCTACAGTTTATCATTGGTTTTATCATTGAGCCTGTATCCTTCAAAGATTGCAATATTAACGGGCAAAAAAAAATAAATTTGCAGAGGAAGGTTAATAACAGTAGGTTCTAAGTGGCGTCATCTTTTGTTACGTGACAGATTAAAGTGTAGTTTTCCCTAAGAAACTATCATCATGTTAGTTTAGATCATCTAATGCTGAAGCATGTCTAAAGAGAACAATGGGTCTCATTTAGTGAGGATATCTACTTCTAATGGCCTATTATACAAAATCACCAGTAATGCTAAAAATTTAAAAACACGACCTATAAGGACAAGAATGAACCTTGCTGAATAGATCTGAATACCATACCTATATGCTAAAACGAAAGAATGCAAAGAACAAAGTTACAACGCTTTCTTAAGAGTGTTTCACGTACTGCATACTGCCTTATGACCTACTAAACTGACAATTCATGTCCCGGAAGTAAATCTTGAAGCTTAATGCATAAACAGTATTAGGTGGCTACAATCACGTTGCTATACTTTGATCTCAGGATTGATAAGCGGAAAATCAGACCCCTGTTGTTCTCGACACTCTATAAAGTGTTATTTTGAACTACATCTAGAGCAGAAAACCCTAACAGTATTATGTACAGAGTTGCTATCTCATGGTTCCGTGTAGTTCGCACAAGAAAGTACCCCGCCCCGGGTCTTTCACCAAGTACTTACAGTGACTGAAGTAAAGAATATTTTACATTTTTGAGAACCTTTTCTTTTTTGGTCGATATTGATGACGAGTAAAAAGTGGGGGACCAGACCTAACACCTTTGAAGCTCCAAATATTTCATGGAAAAGAAAAAAAATACGAAGAAGGAACTTAATGCCATTCGATGACTAAAGGAGCTATTTTGGGATCGGATCAGCATTCAATACTTCAATCACCATCAAATTTAATACTGAAAGAGGATTTCTCCTGAAAGAAGGATTTTAACAAATATCACTTTGCAACTATTTATTAATAAACCTTAAACACAATTGTTTAAAATCGTTGCCAGCGATAAAGACCGTTTAAATTCAGAGCATCATTCAGATGGTACCAAGTACGGCAATATTTCTCGTCAAGAGGTTTTTGGTTTTCTGTTTTTTCCAATCATGTGATATGCCATTAATACTGACATTTGTCAACTCTAACCCTTATAAAATTCGAGGTCTTTGGAAACCGAAGATAAAGTTAACGATGCCTTCTCAACGAAGAAAAAACACACAAAGAGTTATTTTGAAAAGTACGTTTATGAAGAAATGAGTTTTATTATATAAACACCAATGAAATACCAAGTGAGCTTTCGCACGAAAACTAGATATCTTCACATGTGAAAATATCACCGTTGGAATGGCTGCATAATAAATCGCACCTTTCATACCAAAATCTGTTGAAGTAAAATGGTTTGGTATTTCATTGGTGTTTATATAATAAATAGAATATTACATGGTCGCTTGGAGATACGAAATTTCTCTTCTCGTGTTGAAAAAGATATTTCACTCGTTCGCGAATATTTTTCAACACTCGAAGAGAAATTTCGTATCTCCGCGCGGCCATGTAATATCCTCTATATCGTGACTGTGTTATCGGAGAATCGTTTCGGGCATGCAAAAAGAGACTGAAATGATAATAAACACGGATCGTGGTAAGGTTGCGGATATTTGAAAGAGGTCGAGAGTTATTAAATCTTGCTTTTTGCCAAGACAACAAATGCTTTTTATTTCGCAGGCAAATAAGCTGAAACTAAATCCAGTCATTGATAATGAGAAATTTCTTGTCACTTTCAACTATTGTTTCCAAAACGGCCTAGTGTCTAGAGGGTGTAGAACCGGCTAGGAGCTTTTTCGGCCCCTAACGTAGCTTACGTTGGCGATCCTGATTTTTCCTAAACACCTCAAGAGAGGGTAAATTATGCCTATTAACTAATATAACTATGTACTGTATTGTATCTGTTCCCTGAAAAGGTCTGTTTTTTATCCACTTAAAAATGTTTAAAAAGATGAAGCCATTAGTATATTTAATGCGACTATATATGTAATTAAGTTTCTCTTTCGCCAATTCCGTTTGAAAAAAGGGAGCAAACACCGTGTTTATAAAGCTTCGCAGATAACAATCGTCTGAGATTGCAAAAATTAACATTAGAAGACTGCGCTTTCCTTTTTTCTTTTTAGAGATCTAACCACATTCGACTAGGGACTACATTTCACAAGGGTACAGCATGAGCTGTTAGGCCAAGGATCTTCAGGGGAGATCGAAGATGCATGCTTTCGTTTTACTTTAAAGTGAATCCAACAGAATTTTGAGAAATTCTTATGTCGTGATCGCAGCGTAGTACCCCAGATTGGGTTTCTTATAGATAAACAAATTTATGATTTAAAGCTGCTAGTAATGCTCTTGAAAAGGTAGGATTGTTAAAACATTTTCTGGCTTGACATTATAAAAACACTTACTGTATGCAAGCCGTAAGGATTTAAGATACAGTTACACGAAACTGTTTCAAGTGACGCCTTAGTTCTTACACAATTTAACCAAATTCAACAGGAATGTAGTTTACTCTGCAGAGTGTAAGTTAGAAACCAATTTCTAGCCGACGCCTAAAATAAATGAAGCACAATAACACACACCCGATACACACACTCATCGTAAAGACAATTTAAACCCACGGTGTGTTCAACTGCTAACTATGACCTTCTCAGCTCATTCGGGTACAATGTACACATTTGTAAGCTCTTCTGAGTGATACTCACAGCTCATTTGGACGGCACAGTACGTTGTTATTAGATCTCGGGACAGAAGAAGTCAATTATGTAAAGATGTCTTGTTCGTGGGTAGTTTCTTTAAGCCTTGTGACCGAGCTTGTATGAAGAAATGTACATATTTAAATAAGCTGTTAGAGAAAGCTGTTAGAAAATTGGGTTTCATTTGGTAATATTACGAAAGAGAGAATGAATATGAAGTACTTCAGAGGCTCCAACTAATAAAGGGGACAGTTAACGAGAGACTGCATTCGAATTCATCTCACTTAAGTACACTGTAAGTATGGCAAAACAATGACATTGTCCAACTTTCATTGAAAGCTTAAAAAGCAACACTGAGTCTGGACGAAAACAAATATTTAAGATAAAGGGTTAGAGGTAGAGATATGTAGAAACCCTTATCTAATACCCCCGCCACCAACTTCCCTGCTCAGTGTTTCTTGAATGTATAGAAACCCTTTCAACTTACCAGCTTTCCTTGATCGTTTGGAAAGTCTTAGTGACCTTATTTCAAAACGACACTCTTGATTAATCCAATGGCGTTAAGATTTAAATATTTAGTCACAAAATATATAGTCCTGTAGATGTGAAATTCTCTCTCGGTACTGTATATTAAGCTGTGCAAGGTGCCTGGTACTGACTGTTGAGTCTGTGGATAAAATACCGCTAAAGCTGACTGTGTTACAATTAAAATGAAAGCCACTTAAATATGCTGCTGTGCCAGGTTCGACAAGGTGTTTCTAACTTTTAAGACTGTGGATGAAATCCTGAAGTTTGACCATTCAAATAAAAGCCACTGAGCAGTACTTTCCAGTCGGTGACATGTTTAATATATTGTGCAAAATGGCACATTTCGTTATATTTTGAGTCTGTTGATGAAATCCTAAAATGTTGTGACTGTTGAATACAACTCTGCTCTGACAATAACCTAAGTTTTATTTACATAGGATGTCCGATGGACATAATAGTGATAAATAAACTAATGGTTTGTTTAACTATATTAGCGCCCTTGTTTACCGAATGCCGCGTAATTGTTCTTCGAGTGAGCCTATGCTTTTTGCACATACACCCCTCAGTCCTGAAAGCCTTTTAACATTCCAGTCTTTGTTTGCGCCGAGAAGAATCAAGTAAACTGTTTTTCTCGGGCGACTGATAAATAACACAAATGACGTTGCTCAGCTCAGGACCTGTGCCCTAAAAAAATGTGAACCAATTTAAATCCAGTAAACGAGTCTGAAGTATTCATCTCGAACTGAAGAATACAGAAAAGCAAAGATGACGGCAGTGACATTATTGCTCAGCCAAGAAGTGCCGGCTTTCTAACGTTCTGTCAGTTCGATGGACTTTCACAGGATCGACTGAATTGGCTTTAGCAGCGAAAAGTCAAAATGCAATTACAGTTCATGACAGTCGCTTCTTTAAAACTAACAAAACTAAAGGCGCGCAACGAAAATGTAAACGAAGTCAGTGACGAGCAGCACAGTTTAGTGTGATTTTGATGCGCTAAGTTGATTATTACGTGGAAGAAACTTAAAGAGTGTCATTGCTGCAACTTCCCCAAAAGTGAAGGAAACTGTGTACCTTCCCTCTAACTTTGCCTTTGTCGTGTTTCTACGTTCCTTTACGAGCCTCCATCACTTACACGGAGATCATAGCTGCACTGAGTAACAATTTCTAAGTTCACCCGAAGAATTATTTCGAGTGAAATAAGAAGACGCTTATCTTATCACATAATAGCAAACAAAATGAGATCACGCAATAAAACGAACTGAATGAATTGTTTTATAATACTGAGGAAATGTGAAGTTTAGATTTCTTTTCAATCAGTTTTATTTATGATTATTAGCCATTAGTATGATCAGACGAATTCCGGAAGAACTTGAACTTAATTTGAATTGTCCCCTCAATCAATTAGTGCTAACGCACCAGAGTAGCCTACCCACCTGGTTGCGAGTTTGTTCCATAAAGTATGTTTTCAATCCCAAACTTTAGACTCCGACTTTTGCTTGGTTCGCTAGTGCTGTCTCTTTGCTCGATCGCGCGAGCGTTTTGTGTGACCATCTCGTCTGAAGATGTCCTATATCCTGGAGTTGGGGTACGAACAGGACAGTTCCATGGTGGGAACACAGAAGAACAGGAGATAAAAGGCACCGAAACACAGTTACAGAATGCCAGTGGTGATGGGTTCAACATACTGAGTGAGGTGCGCACGATAACAACTCAAAATGATATGGCAGCTTTGATACCACATAGCCTAATTACTTACAGACCTCCCATATTAAGAGCTAATACAGAGGAACAATTGGCATTAAACTGGCACTTATCTGTGACATCAATGCCAAGGATGTGTTTATAAGGACCTGTCTCTAAGATTTTGTGCGTGTGTGTGTTGGGTCGTGAAAATAACAAATGTGGCTGTGAAAAGCTTGTTCAATTTTGCGCCCATAGCTCTCAGCCGGAAAAAATAAATCTCGGATCAACGTGGCAACCAATTAAAAAGGTATTAATGTGTGAATTTGTTAGGGTCACAAACACGTTTATGGGCGTCTGTGTTATGTAAAACGTGAACCAACATTTAACTCCGCCCTGTTTTGATTTAAGAGAGGGGTCAGTTTAACATCAGATTACTTAAAGGGTCGCATTTTATGAGTAAATATTAGAGTGTTGAAGAATCACTGCTTGCTGTAATGAATCCAATATCGTTTCAGCAAGCTCACTAATGTAATCTAAATGGCCTCGAAACAACTTAACGATAATCATTAATTTAATTACTTTCCTCGTAATTATCGTCTCGTGATATTTACTAGTTAAAGTGCTTAGCAGCATTTCTTGTATTTATTTTTAAAAATAGAAAGCACATCCCCCTACTCAGTTTCTTTTCTGATTACAATTTTGATAAATTTGGCGCCATTTTGACGCCTATATTCGATTCTCTTTCAGTGACGAACCGAAAAGAAACTACAAGCCCTCTCACCCTCATCCCCAACCCCATTACACCTTCCCCGGCCAAACACTATTTACAAACAGGAAGGCTGCATAGCAAATTTAAAATTGTCTCCTTCGATATCAACTGATATCTAGTATTCTATTGATTGACTCCACTAACCCCAGGGGGGATCTCCCGGAAAACTGGAGCAGCCCAACCACAGGAGAATAGCGTATTTATTCGATTAAGCACCCTGGGCGTTTATCAAATTTTTGTACCTTGAAAGTGGGCGCTTATTCGAGGTGGGCTCTTATTCGAGGTAGGCGCTAAGTTGAGGTTGGGCACTTATTCGAATAAATACGGTACTCAACAAAGTGTACCGCTATAAATGAACCGTCCTTAAAAGATGAATAACTCGCTTAACCTGAAAATTTCGTTATCTTTTTCACAGCCATAAAATGCATTTGCTAGCCCTATAGGTCCTTTCACAGACTTGACAGATTTCCCCCGGCCCTTTTATATATTTTTACCTGGATCCTGAAAAAGGCACCCCTCGGGGGGGGGGGGGGGGGGGGGGGGGGGGGGGG